TTTTATGAGAAAACAAAATAGCAAAAAGTAAAATAAAAAAAAATACCGAACTCCGAGGAAAATTCTAAACGGATAGTCCCTAAGCAAATGGCAAAATCAAAAGCTCAAACAGATCAAACGAATGGATAACAACTGTCATATTTCTGACTTGGTACAGGCAATTTCTTATGTAGAAAATGGTGGATTGAACCTGGTTTTATAGCTAGCTTAACCTTGGCAAACAAACTTATCTCTTGATTACTACTAATTGAACTGAATTATTTCCAAAAAAAAAACAGACTACAAAAACGTTTCTTTATTGGAAATAATACATATTGAATTGTTATTTATGAATAATTTCCTCGGGACAAGAACATTAGAACATATGTTTCCCAAGAAAATAATTTTTTGGTTGTTTGTTTCATGAGGAAACTAGTCAGGGTTAATAGATTAATATGAATTCTTTCCAAAGGAAAAGTTTTTGTTGTCTCCTTTCAAGGGAAATGATACATGGAAAATGTAATGTTACACAAAGAAACGCTTTTTGATAAAAATTGAGAATGGAAATGGGGAATGTGTCAAAGAGACAACAACCCGACCAAAGAGCAGAAAACAGCCGAAGGCCACCAATGGGTCTTCAACACAACGAGAATGGAACTTATTCATTGTTAAAAATTGAAAATATATATTTTCACAAGGAACTGGGTTGTTTTTGGTTTTTTTTTTTTTTTTTGCAGTTTCCTGGGATAAATAGTCAGACATAATAGATGAATATGTACTGTTTCCAAGAGAAATGGGGTTTTTTTTTTTTTTGTTGTTGCTAGTTTTCTTGGGAAACAATTAATGGGAAAGATATTGCATATGTATTGTTTCCTAATTTTTTGTTGTTGTTTGGTTTGGGTTTTTTTTTTTTTTTTTTTGGGGGGGGGGGGGGGGGCTAGTAAGGAATAATAGATTAAAAGGTATTGTTTCCAAAGGAAACTTTTTAGTTGTCTATTTCTAGGCGAAATTATACATGGATAACCATTAAAATTGAATTATTACCAAAAGAAACGGGGTTTTTTTAGGTGTTTTTTTTCTAGCGAATGTATTTATTGATTAGAATTGAAAATATATAGTTTTCAAGGAAATATTATTTTGGTTGTTAGTTTCCCGGGGAAACCAGTCAAGGATAAAAGTTGAATATGTATTGTTTACAAAGAAAATGTTTTGTTGTCCGTTTCCAAGGGTATCTATATATGGATAAAAGTTGAAAATGTATTGTTACCCAAAGAAACGTTCTTATGGAATTTATTAATTGATTAGAATTGAACATAAAATTGAGAATGGAAATGGGGAAAGTGTCAAAGAGACAACAACCCGACAATATATAGTTTTCAAGGAAATATTATTTTGAATGTTAGTTTATCGGGGAAACCAGTCAAGAATAAAAGTTGAATATGTATTGTTTAGTTTATGTATAGTTTTTCAAGAAATTCTTTTTTTGGTTGTTAGTTTCCTAATGAAACTAGTCAGGGAAAAAAGATTAATATTGATTGTTTCCCAGGTACACTTTTAATCAATGAATAAATTCCCTAGAAAAAAAAAACAATCAAAATTTGTTTCTTTAGGTAACAATTCAATTTCAATTGTTATCCATATATAGTATATATAGGTCAGATGCAGAGATTTAACAATATGATTTAGTTGCTACTAATGAAAACCAATTATATGTTACTGGTTTGATATTTCATTTGAAAGGATACTTATCAAAAAAAGTATATTATATTATGAGATATCTTGGTTTGAGAAGTATGATTTTTTTTTAGATTTAACATTACTGACAACTATAAACAATAGAGTATCTTGTGTTGGGGCTGTTTGTTTTTGGCAGAGTTAATAGAAAATTATCCTGAAAAAATATAACAATAAAAATTGTCTGGATAAAAAAAATAAAATGTAAAAAATCTACCAAGAGTTCAAGTCATAATTTATCACTGCTACTGAAATTTAGCTGACTCTATCTGAATAGTTCCTCATATCAGAGGGATAAAAAAAAACTAACTGAATATTATAACGAACTTGAATTAGGTAATAGACACTTTTGAAAAATATACACAAATAAACTACTTCTTTGTTGTTGAGAAAATGAATAATTTCAAAAAAAGTGCGTGTTTTCTGTACGAAATCGTAAAAATTCGACTTTCCTCCATATACAATGTAATAAAAAGGCATATGTTTCTGAAAATAATTCAATATTACGTTTTGCTATACTTAACTTGACAAGTTTGATTTCCGAACAATCAGTGATACAAAAAAGGAATTACCATACAGGCTTATCTTTTATGAAAAACAAAAGTCAAAAAGAATATATTTCTCAAAGGAAACAGAATACATAAAATGTTTCCCTTGGAAATTTTTACATATTCAACTGGTTTCACAGGGAAATAAGAGTATAATGGTACTATTTTACGGTTAAGTATTTCCGATCTTTTCCACCAGAAATATTATAGTTTCCGAGGGAAATATTTCTTTTATGGTTTCCCTGGGAAATGAATTGACGACAACTTCAGTCAGATGCCAATTTATTTCAACTTTAGTCAGCTGCATAAATCTTCGAATTCTAAAAAGTAAATAATTTTTAACTGGTTTTAAAAAAAATGTGACATTTAAATAAAGGCAACAGTAGTATATCGCTGTTCGAAAACTCATAAATCGAGATAAAAACAAATCCGGGTTACAATGTGGAGTTGTTCGAATTTATTGCATTGTAATTCAAACATTGATGTATTAAGTCCATCAAATGACTACGATTCTTCGAATAATTTCAGATTGTTTCATCCATCTTTGGGAAACAATTGTATTGTCCCGCGTTTCGTTAAAGCATGGCGGGGATTATTGTATTGAATATATCATTGGGTCCCACTACATTTTTATTGTGTTTTTCTCAAGGAAACTGCAGTTCAAAGGTCATCGTTATCTCTGTTATTTTCGTTTTTAGTTGTTGACTTCGATGTGTTATAAAGATGGGTTTTTTTTTAATTTGGTGGCAATTGCCTTCAATCATTATAACATCCTTTAAATATAGAAATGTGTCTACTGCTGGATCAACTTCTCTTACTTTGTCGTTGTGGTTTGTTGTCTCATAGGCAATCTTAACTAAATCTTTTTGGACTAAATTTCTTGATTGACAACATATTTGTTACGTTTGGAGGACGTGTTTTTCAACAGACTGTCGGAATTCCAATGGGAACTAATTGTGCCCCTCTTCTTGCCGACTTGTTTCTTTAGTATTATGAGGCTGACTTCATACAGGAACATCTTAGGAAGAAAGATAAGAAGTTAGCAATATCCTTTAACTCTACGTTCCGCTATATAGATGATGTTCTCTCACTAAATAATACAAAATTTGGTGACTATGTTGAACGAATCTATCCCATCGAACTAGAGATAAAGGATACTACAGATACAGTTAAGTCTGCCTCATATCTTGACTTACATCTAGAAATTGACAATGACGGTCGGTTGAAAACAAAACTTTACGACAAAAGAGATGATTTCAGCTTCCCAATTGTGAACTTTCCATTTCTATGTAGCAACATTCCAGCAGCGCCTGCATACGGAGTATATATCTCCCAATTGATACGATATTCCCGGGCTTGTGTTTCATATCATGATTCCTTGATAGAGGATTGCTGCTCACAAGGAAGCTATTAAACCAAGAGTTCCAAGTGGTGAAGTTGAAATCATCCCTTCGTAAATTTTACGGACGCCATCACGAGTTGGTTGACCGTTATGGAATAACCGTTTCACAGATGATATCGGATATGTTCCTTATGTCGTAACTACAATACCCTTTCCTTTTCACGAATGTGACTTACCGAATTAGACTATTTACCGGATTTGTAATAACATAAGCAACACGACGGGTGCCACATGTGGAGCAGGATCTGCTTACCCTTCCGGAGCACCTGAGATCACCCCCAGTTTTTGGTGGGGTTCGTGTTGCTTAGTCTTTAGTTTTCTATGTTGTGTCATCTGTACTATTATTTGTCTGTTTGTCTTTTTATTTTTGGCCATGGCGTTGTCAGTTTGTTTTCGATCTATGAGTTTGACTGTCCCTCTGGTATCTTTCGTCCCTCTTTGGAGATGATGTTTTTTGTCTGTTATTTTCTTGTTATTCGCATCGTATTTTTTTTTAATACTAGTATTGCTCTATAAAAATATGGAGATGTGGTATGATTGCCAATGAGACAACTATCCACTGAAGTTCAAATGAAGTGGATGTAAGCAATTATAGGCAACGTACGGCCTTTAACAATGAAAAAACCCATACCGTATGGTGGGCTATAAAAGGCCCCGATATGAAAAATATGAAACAGTTCAATTTAGAAAACTAACGGCCTAATTTATAACAAAACAATTTACGGAAAACAAATATGACAGACATAAACCAACGAAAACCACTGAACTACATGCTTCTGACTTGGGACAGGCATTTAAAGAATGTGGCGGGGTTAAACATGTTGGTGAGCGCTCAACCCTCCCCCTTACCTGGGACAGTGGAGCAACAGTACAACATAAGAACAAGCAATAAAAACATCAGTTGAAAAAGGCTTAACTCATCAGATGGATACAAATAGAAATACATCTAACAAAAACACAGAGTGGCCGTGGATGGGCACGTATACATCCCCAAAACAAAAGACACTAAGTACAGCTCTGAGTGTACTCGCAGTTACTGACAGCTAGTTCAAAGTCAATAACAACTAGTGAAAAAAACACATGTATCTAAGACTAAAATATCAATCAGTACACATCCAATGGATTTAGTGTAAAGACGTCATTAACAATCAGAGAAAAAACATGACTTGTTTATTACTATCATTTGATAATGTGTAATCATTGTCTTCTATTCAGTTGTAAATTAAACATCTTTTGTCTTGAATAAATAAGAACTAGTCAGTTATTTATACGTATTGGTTTTAAATTAAACTAGACATATGTTTCAATAGTTAATTTACATCAGCGTTTGTGAAAACTTAATTTAGTTTTCTCCGTTTTGAACAGAATGTAATCTTTATAAACCGTACAAAGGTTTCAATATCACTTAGTATTATAATTCCTATAGAGGAACACAACATCAGAATTCCAAGAAGGCCTATAGCTTGTGATGATGGTCTCTCATCTGCTGCACTTATTTTTTTATTCTTTGCTGAAATAGAAATAAGACAGTGACTATGGCATGGCTATGAAAAAGTAAACACGGTAAAGTAATCTTTAAGAAATTCATCCGTCATAATAAATTATGGCAAAATACGTGATAATGAGTTACAAAATTCATGATAACAATTTGATCATGAATTTAATACGTGCAAATTCATGAGAACAATTCAATTCATGGTAATCATTTTTTTATGTGCGCGATCTCGAATTAAATTATATCATAGATGGTCCTAAATGGACTCAGACTATATTTTCAGAGGTCCTAAACGGGATGCCGTATTAATATGTTTTACTGCAAATTTAGGCGTCTGTCAAAATTATTAACCAAAATTTTCAGAGCATGTCATAACATTTTCGTTGTTGTTACGATTGCAGCTGTCTTAAGCTGTTTTCTATGCATAAATAACTAATGCATTGGATGACTAGTGACGCTTAAATCCAATTCTATCCTAAAGTCGATGCATCAACTCTTTATCAGGGTGTAAAACTTGATGTTACTTTTTACCAACTTAGCACCGCTTTCATCTTTTTCATTTGCGACATTTATTCTAGAGTATAACAAACGATAATTAAACGACCAAAGTTTTCACCTTAAATAAATATGTTATAACCGGTTCTCCGTCAAAGTTTAGCTTTTCAAGTGCTTCTGATAGATAAATCTATCAAAATTTACAAATTAATCCCTTAAGTCGAACGAATACCATACAATTATTGGTCGACCTTTTGCCGATGTTATGCGTCATTTTATTCTTAAACACAAATAAATTCAAAATAAACTTGTACACAAACCTAAAGTTGTTTCTTTTTTATCAATCTTTAATTCTTTTACCAAATTCTCCACCATCTGAAGAATTTCTTCTGGTCTCAAATTAATAAAAGACAGACAGTTACATTTTTGGATACAAGTTTCATTCTTTATGCCTTCTGCTGTACTTGTTAGTTCCAGACGTTTCTTTTGGTCTACTTCTGACGAGTTGCTTGTCGTAGATGTAGTAGTCTCTGAAATAAATTTTGTATTGAAGACTCTACGAATTATTTTTGTTTGTTGAGTAACAGAAAGACCTTTAGATGTATATGCTTCACGTGTAGCTTCAGTGTTGGTGTCAGAAACACCATAAGATGTGTAAGCTTCACGTGAGGCTTCAGTTTGATGTTCAGAAACACCGTTAGATGTATATGCTTCACGTGAAGCCTCAGTTTGAGGGTCAGATACACCGTTAGATGTATATGCCTCACGTGTAGCTTCAATTTGAGTGTCAGAAACACCATAAGATGTATCCGCTTCACGTGTAGCTTCAGTGTTAGTGTCAGAAACACCATAAGATTTGTATGCTTCACGTGTTGCTTCAGTTTCAGTGTCAGAAACACCGTTAGATGTATGTGCTTCACGTGTAGCTTCAGTTTGAGGGTCAGAAACACCATAAGATTTGTATGCTTTACGTGTTGCTTCAGTTTCAGTGTCAGAAACACCGTTAGATGTAAATGCTTTACGTGCAGCTTCGGTTTGAGTGTCAGAAACACCGTTTGATGTATATGCTTTACGTGCAGCTTCAGTTTGAGTGTCAGAAACACCGTTAGATGTATATGCTTTACGTGTAGCTTCGGTTTGATGGTCAGAAACACCGTTTGATGTATATGCTTTACGTGCAGCTTCGGTTTGAGTGTCAGAAACACCGTTTGATGTATATGCTTTACGTGCAGCTTCGGCTTTAGTGTCAGATATTGAAGTTTTAGATATTCCAGTTGTTACTGCTGATTTGGTAGAAACTTCCTTATTTGTAGCTGACAGGTGATTTGTCGACAATTGACTTGTTACGTCCGGTGTTTGGGTTTGAGTTGTATCCATATCGACTTCTATATTAGTAGCTCGGTCAATAGAAGCAGTATAGTGTGGAGTTGATGCTTCAAACATAATATTCGATGGTGTTTCATCGACTAACATTGAACCTTCACCCTTAGGAGTAGACAGCCTTGTTTCAGATTTTGTAGACGTTCTAATCGTTCCATCTGTTAAACGTGGAGCAGATGATTTAAAAATAGATGTTGCTTCATCTGTAGACGTTAACGACAATTGATGTCTTGTTACTTCGTTTGTTTCAGTTCGAGTTGTATCCATACCGACTTCCATATTAGTAGTTCGGTCAATTGAAGCTGTAAAGTGTGGAGTTGATGCTCCAGATGAGATATGTGATTTCTTTACTGTTGACATTTGCGTTGATGCTTCGGAGGAAATCGACATATTACTTGTCATCTGATTATGTGTTGTTCCAGACGAAGTCTTTAATTTTAGTGCAACTGTTGTTGTATCGGCTACGATGGTTTCGTTTGCTGTTGTCCTTGCGTATTTCCCTGACGACAAATCTTCTTGTGTATCTGTTAACAAAGATAAAATATTTCTTATCATTTCTGACTTTCAAATTAAGTTAATCAAAAAGGTTTTTTTCTTCGATATTTTAACGCTAAATACTCAAGTTTTCGAAAGCAATTTTAATGAACTATTATTATAAAAAGTTATAGAAAGTAGTTTCTATAATTAAGTTTTATACCTTTTTTTGTTCCATGACAATGGCTGATCCACCTTATGACTACGTGTGTCCATGCGGAAACCATATCAAGAATGTAAATGATAATAAAATGTAGCAAAACTGTTTTTCTTTGACTAAATTAATCGTTAAGCATGTAAATGTACCAAAGACTGTATCAAAAATGAGATGTCTATGTCAGTAGACTCTTGATTGAATTAATATTGTTTGCTACTATTTGTTTAAGTTGACATGGCGACAACAAATTGAATAATACATTAAACACGAAAGAACGATTGGGATGTACTTCCAATGGAAAAAAAAGTAGATGTTGGATAGAGGCAAAAATGGGTCCTCGTAACAGATCAACTTTGCACTCTTCAAATATTTGTGTAAGGATTTTTTTAAACTGCAAAGAGTGTGGTACTCTTTAAAAAAGACGGAAGACGCCAGTTAAACAATAAAAAAACGAAGAAAAACACACAATACCATGATCAAAAAGAAAAACGATAAAAAGACAGTCTATAAAACGCTTTACAGAAAACTGAAATCAGGCTCAATCAACAAATCGGGTAGATCTCTGGTACCCAATAAGGGTAAGCAAATTCTGGTCTACTGTCGGTTTGTGTCGGGTTGCTCATGGAAAATCAGTTTCGTTGACAAGTCTTCTCCGGTTATGTCGCATAGTGGAATATATAGACTGGTATTGATGATTTCATACAAACCTAAATATCTGACAGTCTCCACATTTCCACCACATGTTCCAACTAGTACAGCCTTTTCATCATGTCTTAATGAAAATAAAACATCAATAATCCCTGGGCTTTCGTCAAATACATTCTGTAGATGGTAAGTATTTTTCTCTTTAAGTATCTCCTCCATAAGCTCAGCCTTAGGGGTAAAAAAGGAAAATATGATTTATATATATATAGTCGAACTTCAAAATGTACCATTGTTATATTGCCTAAAATACAGCCACGTAATTATGTTAAAAACGTTCATACATGCAATTGTTCTTATGTCTTGATTTTATCAAGACTATCTGAAATTTTCTTTTTGTTTTGACTTCAAACAATCAAAAACCTACCATCAAAACAGACGCAAAACCATGGACACGAACCTGAAGTATAACAGGAGTAGTTCTTTTTCTCTTCTTTTTATTTTCTTTTTTCTTTAATATGGTATCCCCATACGTAAAAATTAAATTCGAACAATTCTTAATATTCAAAAAAAAGGAAAACATATGGCCAGGGATACCTGATGAGGATAGGCCTATGTCTATACGACCTTAACCGAAACACCTTTTATATAATAAGGAACACAGACTCAGCTCTGTGATTCTATTCTAAGAATACACACATTATTTAAATTACAAGCACGTGTGAGTTTCTTTGCAAGTACAAAAATAAATGCTGATAAAGTATTCCATAACAAAAAAATATTATCATACATTGAGTAAACCAATTCTAGATAACTCTAGATACATGTACATAGAAAATGGAATTTATTACAAAGGATTATAATAAGATATACTGGATTGGTCCTGGACCCGACTGATTTTAACATCTTCTTTTTTATACATATATTCATCTGTTTTTTGATTGGTCGCGGTCTTTTATTTTCAAAGAAGTTTTGTCCTATTGGTCGTTTTGTAGACGAAACGCGCGTTTGGTGCACAAAATTTTAATCCTGGTATCTATGATGAGTTTATTTACCACCACTGGGTCTATTCCACTGCTGGTGGAGGTTTCCTCCCCGTGGGTATCACCAGCCCAGTAGTCAGTACTTCAGTGTAGACACGAATTATCATTGATATGGTCATAATTATAAATTAACTATTCACAAAACTTTGAACTTTTCGAAATACTCAGTATTTTCTATCCCAAGGATAGATTAGCTTAGCTGTAATCGTCAAAATCTCAGTTTGGAATTTTGTGTCTTCGATGCTCCTCAACTTTCTTCTTTATTTGGCCTTTTAACTTTTTTTATTCTGATTCGAGCGTCACTGGTGAGTCTTTGTAGACGAAACGCGAGTCTGACGTACAAAATAGTAATCCTGGTATCTATGGTGAGCTTATTCGTGAGATTGTCTCGTTCTTTATTCTCAATTCGTTGCGGATAGTGTTCTACAACTATATCTAGTTTGGTCAATGCAGCAAATGTGATATTTCACATTTGATTTCGCATATTTAACAAATAAAATGTTGGCAGAGAGATTTCTTTTGTATGTGTGAAATTTTGATAGTATAGTGCATTATATTTGCACGCATTGAATGTTGATATGTAAATGGTGACACTTTACGACATACATATGTATTAAAACGTTTCAAACTCTATGGACTATGACCGAGAAGGCGGAGCCAAATAATCTCCTTTGAAATGAGATGGTCTAAAGGTAATTCAATCGCATACCCATACATCGTATTAGGTCACTAGCACACTGTGCATATTATCTTACCTCCTATACATTTCTAGGAATATTATTGGTTAAAAGCGACCGCGTGGAGACCGTGTATATTCAATATGGGGTTAGTAGGCGTGGTTTATTTTAATACACGGTTAGTGTTCAAGTTAGTAGTAAAAACAACCGACGGCGTTGAAGAAAAATCTGAAACGTTTCGCCCGGACAACAGCTAGATGAAGAAACTGACGACGAACGATTGAAATAAATGCAGAAAACACATTAAAAGCTAACAAGTTGTCATTGTTTGCATTTGTTTTTGTATAGATCAATGGAAGTAGGTTATTTATATTGAAGGCTTGGTCACTTTAATAGGACATTAGTCTAAATGCCACATGTTAAGATAGTCGTAAGATAAATTCGTTACACAGTGTGCTAGTGACCTAATACGATATAATTATATGGGCTTCGCTCTCACCCCATATGGAATTCACTGACCCAATATATATATATCGTATTAGGTCACTAGCACACTGTGTAATTTACTAGGGCTCCCTTTAAACTGACACAGTCACAAACTTTAAAACTATACAAACGTTTCAAAGTAAAACCACCATGTTTAAGGCAGCGGAGTTAATATATTTTTCATGGAAATAATATGTCCAAATGCATATACAAGTACATACCAAACAGCATGCGCTTTCCCTTTTAACTGACCTAAACACAAACTTTACCAAATGATTGACACCATGGATGCCGCCGCTAGCTCAATAAACAACACGCCTAAGAATCGCCTCCACGACTTCGTTTAGGCGAGACAAAAAAGGAAAAAAAAAACAAATGAAAAAGCTTGCTTCATTATAAGATCTAATAAGAAAATGTTCAATCACTTTGACAAAGAAATGATTTTTTTCTGGTACAATGAATATCCTATACAGATAAAGTGCTGTCGTCACGTTGAAAGTCGAATTCGATCATTTTAAAAATCTTAGATAGTGGTCGCCCTTCGTATATATCCTTAAGGGTCTTGCAACTCAAAATTCCTTTTCTTCTTTTTTTTCCCATATCGCTCTTAATTGTGGGTCAGTGTCGTCAGTGCTTGATTTTTAACATTTACTTTCATGTCTCGGGAGGTCTTATAGATTACTGAATGAATCAAAATGTTTTGTTTTCAATACCAAATATAAAAATAAGAAGATGTGATATGATTGGCAATTTATAAGACAACTTTTCACCAGACGTATGAAGTTGGCAAGTATTTGTCATGCACCGTACTGCCAATTTACAAAATAGATAGAGTCGCCTATTTTCTTAATATATATCTACATACAATGTATATAGTTACGATTAATTGTATCTTGTTTTCTATTCTCACCTTAATTTCTATTGTTTGTATATCCGTTGTTATGGTGACTGTCCATTCTCCGGCAGGGTACTTTATGTCAAGGTTGTATCTACATACACAATCTGAAATGAAGGCGTTACTCGATCCATCACGGTAGGGGCCTTGGAGAATAGTAATCGGAACTGTACATTCCGATGTTTGAAATAAATTCCAAGCTGCCACCAAATACAAAAGAAATTCCATCATTAAGACAACAATCGATGTGATAGTTAACAATATTTCTTCTTCTTTTTACAACAATCAAGAGGCGCACTTTTGATTTAAGGATGATTTTATTTAGTTCCTAATGCAAAGCTTTAACAAATATAGTTAGACGTTAAATTATTCATCAAATTGTCTGCTTCTGTCATTATTCTTAACTAATCGTCTGTTAACTGTTTCATAAAAATTGTTTAAAAACGAATATCCTGTGTTAAATATCCTCTGATCACCTTAGGACTTAATAGGTCGGTATTTTAAAATCAGGAAATGATCTAGTAATTTACTCAGATTAAGAGACAGATGCATTAAAAATTGCTAGCTGTTAAGCGATGTAAAATGTGTTTGTTAATATCTATTGAATAATGTTAATCTTACACGACAGGAACATTAAACTTTCTATGGTGCGTGATATTTAGATACGTAAATACATGTATCTTGTCTAAAGGAGGGAAAATCGTACTTTGTTAAAAAATCACTCCGATTAAAACAAGAAATTCTCTGAAACTGACATTATGAAGATCCTTGATTTCTTGATTGACAACACATTTGTTACTTTGGAGGACGTGTTTTTCAACAAACATTTGGCATTCCCATAGAAATTAACTGTACTCCTCTTCTTGCCGACTTGTTCCTTTATTCATACGAGGGTTACATCTTCTTAGGAAGAATGAAAAGAAGCTAGCATTATCCTTTAACTTCACGTTCCGATATATAGATTATGTATTCTCACTAAATGATTCAAAGTTTTGTGACTATATTTTGAACGTATCTTTTCCATGGAACTTCAAAAAAGGATACATCGTCGGCTCATATCTTGACTATATCGAACAAATATTTACGACAAAATAGATGATTTCAACTTCCCCAAAAATCGGGGGTGATCTCAAGTGCTCCGGAAGGGCAAGCAGGTCTTGCTTCACATGCGGCACCCGTCGTCACACCCGTTGCTCATGTAAGTACAAACCCCGGTGATAAGTCTAATTCGAGAGGTCACATTTGGGGAAAAGAGGATGTCGTTAGCCTTGTCTGGTTATAGTGAGGACGTTCAATCCGCTTTCTGCAGTTATAGTTAGATTAATCGTTGGTTCAAATGAAACACTACATACTTATGTGTATATAGCTTTTACTCATAAAATGTTTGAGCAAGAAAAAAATTATGTTCATATGTTTAGCTTAGTATAGATATGTATTCATACCGATATAACATGTTTCTGTTATTATTCTTCCCTTAGTTTATTTATTTTGTATTTACATTGTATCATAGGTCAAATTTATTTGTTCAGTGTTTGTTCACTGGTGTTAATATGTCCTTTGATTGAGTTAAGCTATTTCAGTTGATATTTTATAGTGAGTCTTTCTATGTTGTGATGTTACACTATTGTTTCAGAAAAAGGGTGAAGGTTTGTTACCATTAAAACGTTTAACCCGCTGCATTTGTTTGCACCTGTCCTAAGTCAGGAATCTGATGTTCAGTAGTTGTCGTTTGTTGATGTGGTTCATAAGTGTTTCTCGTTTCTCGTTTTTTATATAGATTAGACCGTTGGTTTTGTCGTTTTAATGGTTTTATACTAGTAATTTTTGGGGCCCTTTATAGCTTACTGTTCGGTGTGAGCCAAGGCTCCGTGTTGAAGACCGTACTGTGACCTATAATGGTTTACTTTTATAAATTTTGACTTGGATTGAGAGTTGTCTCATTGGCACTCATACCACATCTTCTTATATCTATGTAATTATTGTGTTTGTGTTTTTATTCTTAATTGGCTGGTACACTTTGAATATTTGGCTGACGTAACCTAAAACAGATGAAAAAAAAATAACACGGTCGTACCAATGAAGAGCGGATAAACGGATAACGGTATATATGGGGAGACAACTAGAATACATCAATTTCAATCTGAAGTTCCTCAAATGAATGAATTACATGTTTTGTTTGTATGCTTTGTGTAATAATGGAAAAAATGAAAACGCATGTCAACTCTGCCTGAGCGAGTTTGCACACTGTTTTATCCCCACACAGATACATCTAAGTATGTTAATATATTTACAGATCTATAAATTGACAACGAAGGTCGGTTGAGAACTATAAACCTCCACGACAAAAGGGATGAATTCATGTTGTCCATTGTTAACTTTCTATTTCTATGAAACAATATTCAAGCAGCGTATGGGGTGTCTGAGTAATCGTGATTAGATCCGGACTTTTATTTTGTGATTTCTAATAAAAAACGAAAGTGGTATGCCCGGAAATCATGGAAATTAATTTGTTTTTATGTACTTTTATTAATAAAAAATTGTCCGGGGGAGTGTAGTTATGATATATACGTATAAAACCAGTCAAAAAAATTCTTATCAGATTTCCTAGTTAGCAGATTGTTGCTCGCAAGGTACATATACCATTGAACCAACGGTGCTTAATCATTAAGGTAATGGTAAAATAGAAATTATACCTTCGAAAATTTATCATGTTTATATGCATGGTCACCATCATGTCTTCTTTGGCCGATTTTGAAATCTATTATCAGACTGTGTCATTGGTGACTACGAGTGTGTTCCTCCTGTAACCACAATCACCACCCGCTTCCTGAATTGTGATATCACATTAGCTTTACTTGTCTTGAGCAACACAACGGATATCATTAGTGGATCAAGAACTGCTTACCTTTCCGGAGCACCCGAATTTCACCATTAGTTTCGTTATGATTGGGTCAGTGTTGCTTTTAAATAAGTTTTTAATGCTGTATTTTTGCTATTTATTTTCGGGTATCTGTGCTGTTTTAATATTGGGAACCTGCCCCAAATCAAACGACATGCAGAATCTTTGACACATTGACATGAGTACTGTTAGTATTAATGGTAATCCGCATACCATTTTATATACTGTGACAATCCACGGGCGCTTGGGCCCACTTTTTGTCAGCTCCCATGTTTTTTGTTGTTGTTGTAAATATTCTTCAATACTTGAACTTATTTTTACTGATTTCATGGTTTCGTTTTCGTACGATATAACAATAACAGAAATTTATATATGCTGCCCCGCTATTCTTAGTTCGGTTGAACTTGATGATAAGCTAAAATATCAAATTGTTAACAACATTAAAAAAAATATCAATAAAAGGAGAATAGAAAAAAGAAAGTCAATGCCCATGCAAGCACATGTGTGCCAAACATCACAATAAAAATCTTAATTTGGCGGTAGAAGTCCGTCTTTATTTGATTTACACAATGTATGTTCGGTATAATTGTTTAACGTTGACTTTATTTTTGTTTTGGCTTTTTGAAAATTATAAAAAAAAAATGTAATTTAAAATGTGCCTTTCAGTGCAAAATACAAAACTATTTGAAAATTTCTACTAAGCTTTTGAAAATAATAAAAACCTTCTTTAAAATTTCAATATAAATAAATGTCAATACCCGATTTTACGTTTATATATAATTTTTAAAGTATTTGTCAAGTTACATTAGATTCCTCAGTTTCTCTATTGGTTGCCAGTTAAATGTATTTTGGTGAGAGAATGTGTTGGTCAAAATGCGGCTTGAGGAGAAGCATTTTTTGAATATCTAGAGTATATTTAGCAAAGAATTCACACCGTCTAAGGAATTCACGACCTCGGTCACGACAAGTATTTTCAACAGTGACAATGACAATGAAACGGAATACATTCATCGTCTTTACCAGCTTAGATTTAAATATTTAAATCATTTTTTCAGAAACCAATCAAAACAGTCGTTACATTTGGGATTCATCAGACAAAAATAAATAAATATCAAAATATTGCGAACAAAAACAACAAAAGTGGAAAAAACACAGCGACCAGTTTGATTTACTGGTCAAATATATAATGAACTTAGCAATAAGATCCGGTGACCACCCATCTGACCTTTTGTTTGTTAATTTTAACCAAGATTGCACGTAAGTATGACAGGACAAAAGCTTGAAATGTCAGCTGATGACACCAGTGTCAAAAATAGCACAACACTAAAAGCCTTTGTTGTGCAAAAAAGAATATGGAGTGAACCATGTGTCTAATATTCCCTAAATTGTTAAAATGAAAAGACACCAAGTAATTTTCCAGAGAAGAACAGTTTGGTCAATGAAATTAAGAAAATTGTCAATATGTCACTAAACGTCTAAAGGCTAAAGCTGAAAGGGAATTAGTCTTCTTCTTCTTCTTCTTCTTTATAATTCAGCACTCCATCAACATACTGATGATAACGTGCCGGGCACTGATTTTACTATGCCGCGCATGCGTGGGATCTAATTTTTATTTACAGTGATTAATATACAAAAATAAAATTTAATTTCTTTTTCCTCTGTTTTTGTACTTTACATTTTGGTTAAAACTATATACATTGTAGAATTTATTTAAATGTTTAGATGTTTATTGAGAACAGATATTGGAATCCAAATAATTATAATGACGTCTTGAAAGACTGACTAGAAGGAAATATATTATATAATTTTTCTGATAAGGCTGACCATCAAATCCCTATTCAACAATGTTAAACTCTATCTATGGAAATTTAAACAAGTTATACACCTTGAGGCTCATAACAATTAATGAACAAAAATGGCTTTGTTTACACAAGGAAAGATACTCTGAGTACAGACGAACCTAGGGATCTCCATGGATGATAATTTAACCATCCAGGAACTTTCACCAGGAAATGTCTAATCAAAATTATTTCATTGTAAGGAATATTGACAAGACTCATATTTTGTTTATTTAATTTCATTATACATGTAGAATAACCAATATTTTCATTAATTGTCATTTGTAACAGTTCAGTTGTCCTGTTAAAGTCAAAGTCTTTTCTTGTCAGAAGGTTCCTGAGTTGTTTTCTTGCTATTTTGGTAATTTGTGAGGACTTGAAAATCAGGGTTGTTTTCTCAGTCAAACTCAGAAGTCTTGGTCAATTCTATTTGGTCAAGGATCTCTGATTGAGTTGTCTTGGAAGAAACGTCAGATATAATGATATTGTCAAATATTGAAACTAAAATTGCTCCTGAACATGCTAAAAGTTGAACTCGTGTAAACAAAATATGGGAGACAATACTAGGTGACAATCAGAAACAGCAAAGTATATGAAAAAGATACCTAAATATTGAGCAATAGAAACCCCACCAAAATAAGTTTCTACCTCACAAAATTTAATGTACAGTAACAAATGTACTTCAAACTTAGAATTGTATTTTTTGTAAATATGTATGTATGAGAGTCTTCAGGGAAAACACTCAAAACAGTACATGAATATTGAAAATTGGGTATCTTGTTGTCTAAAAAACAGAAACTGACATGTAAAGGTTTATATGTACATGTACATTTATGTATTAAAGGGGCATTAGCCACAAGATATAAAAAAAAATAAAACATGATTTTTTTTGTTCTATCATTTATGAAAGTGAAATAGTGAAATAACAATTCGCTTTGAGCAGCCAGTTTAGTTCAATTTTGTCAAAATAAGCTAAGAATCATCGCTGATGAATTATTCGCTTGCAAGTAAATAATTCTGCCTCATTGAATCCATATTCATGTGACCTTCAATTTAACTCATTAGCTAGAGAATGGGTATGCATGTATAAGTTGTGTTCAGCCATTAAAAGGAAAAGAATGTCAACATTGAAAGAGAAACAAAGGGGAACCATTTGGTTGACTGCTTTGATCCACAAAAAATCATTCTTATACAGGTAAAATCGATGATGAACTTATTTTTTTAACCTATAACATGAAATCAACCAGACCTAGGAAAGTCCAATTGTACGAGGTCGCTATCTATTTATGTTTATGTTTATATTGGGTTATGTGACCGTCGGCAGTCTTTGGAGGTCATCTTGATAGTTAATTAGATGGTGTCTAGACTAAAATATGCACGAAATGCTGATATATATTTTCGAGTCCATGCATTGTTAATTGTTTATTTCAGACTTGTTGTAATTTGGATATATGTTTTAGTATGTTATAAATCAAATATGAGAATTTGAGTCAAATTGGTGAACAAAAATTTGACAGCTAATTGCCCCTTTAACCAAATAGCAGTTTAATATGACCTTTCCCTTTTTTTACAGGTCTTTGGCAGTTGGAAGTAAATCCTGGTACAGACTTTACTCATTAAATACTGTTGATAAATTAGAATCCATTTATGAAAATGGTATGTACATACATGTTGTAACTTATATCTTTTATCAACCTCTTTAAATCTTAAGATTAACACATTTTTATGTGTTGGAAACATCAGAAGTTATGTATATATTAATTTGTATTCATATTTTAATTTTGATTTAAAAATTTTGGTTTAAACATAGATTGCAATTTTTTCATCGAGGTTAATAATATTTCAAACCATTACAATTTTGTGTTTATTTGAATTTACATGTTATTTGATTTCAGTAATAGATTGGTTGCAACTATCAATGATATCAGTGAATAATTGTCGATGATTAATCATCTTTTGTTTCAGAAAGTGAAGACGTGTGTATAGTGGAACGTTTATTTTCCAGTAGTTTAGTCGCCATTGTCAGTATCTCATCGCCTCGTAAACTTAAAGTGTGTCATTTCAAAAAAGGGACAGAAATCTGTAATTACAGTTACTCAAATTCAATATTGGCCGTTAAATTAAATAGACAGGTGAGAATATGTAAACACTTAATAGTACATGTAAGTAAACAGGTAACAATTAGAAAACAGGTAAACCGGTTACAATTAGTAAACAGGTAACAATAAGTAAACAGGTAACAGTTATATTTTGGAATCCTCATATTCTAATTCTGATTTCATGCTCTAGACATAGGGAATTTTATATTATCACACCAGAATTATATTTGAATAAAAAGGAAGGATGGTTAAACTGTGTTAAACATCCAACATGTAACAAATACATATTTTGATATTTTTGTTTGAAAAGCAGGGAATTGAACCCATGGAATGTCGAAAAATACTGGACATCATAACATAAAATAGGATGCTGGCCAGTTATTTCGTTCATTTAAAGCTTATGTTAACAAAATGAATAGAATTACAGAATAAACAAAATAACTAGACTTGATGAAATGTATATATATGAAAGTAGATGTGGGAATATGTCAGTGAGACAGCAACCAAAGATCACAATAAAACAAAAGATTTACAAAATCCATTCCAACACATGAGTTTATGTAATGCTATATTGTTGTGTTAAGTCTCATTAGCACAGATACACCAAAATAAATACTTCAAAATTTTGCAGCTGTGTGCATCTTTTTATATTGTATGGTAGTCAAAGCATTATGCTGGATGAAATCAAATAAATTTTTGTATGACAGCCAGATTTAAAAATTGATAATTTTGAAAGAATTATTGAGATTTATTAATATGTTTTTTTTTACAATTTCAGAGGTTAATAGTATGTCTGGAAGAAAGCTTATATATACACAATATACGAGATATGAAAGTGTTACATACAATACGTGACACACCCCCTAATCTCACAGGGTTGTGTGCACTATCTATAAATAATGATAACTGCTTTTTGGCCTATCCTGGTAGTAACCAGATTGGTGAAGTACAGATATTTGACACTATTAACTTAGTAAGTGAATTTGGATGGGACAGATTTTGCAACAATAAAATTGTGTTCCAAATTTAGATAGCATTCTTTGTATATGTAGCATTGTCTGAAATCTCAATAATTAATCTCACATTTTTATACGACCGCAAAAAAATTTTGCGGTCGTATATTGGTATGACGTTGGCATTGTCGTCGTCGTCGTCTGAAGACACATTGGTTTTCACACTCTAACTTTAGTTTAAGGGAATGGATCTCATTGAAATTTTACCATAAGGTTCAATACCACTAAAGGAAGATTGGGATTGATTTTGGGGGTTAAGGTACCAACAGTTAAGGAATTAGTTTGTAACTTCCAGACATAACTTGTGTGTTAGTGTATGGATCTTTCTGACATTGTACCACAAGGTTCCATATCACAAAGGGAATGCTGGGATTGATTTTGGGGTAATTGCCTCAAAATTTTAGGAATTAGGGGCCAAAAAGGGGCAAAAAACAAGCATTTTTCTAGTTTCATGACTATAACTTGTGTGTAAGTGTATGGATCTTTCTGAAATTGTACTACAAGGTTCCATATCACAAAGGGAAGCTAAAATTGAGTTTACGGGTAATTGCCCAAAACATTTAGGAATAAGGGGCCAAAAACAAGCATTTTTCAAGTTTCCAGACAATAACTTGTGTTCAAATGTATGGATCTCTCTGAAATTGTACTGCAAGGTACCATACCACAGAGGGAAGGCTGGGAATGATTTTGGGGGTAATTGCCCCAAAATTTTAGGAATTAGGGGCAAAAAGGGGCATAAAACAAGCATTTTTTTAGTTTCAGGACAATAACTTGTGTGTAAGTGTATGGATCTTTATAAAATTGTACTACAAGGTTCCATATCACAAAGTGAAAGCTGGGTTTGAGTTTTGGGGTAATTGCCCTAAACGTTTAGGAATTTGGGATCAAAAAGGGGCCAAAAAACAAGCATTTTTCTAGTTTCCAGACTATAACTTGTGTTCAAGGGTATGGATCTCTATGAAATTGTACTGCAAGGTACCATACCACAACGGGAAGGCTGGGATTGATTTTGGGGGTAATTGCCCTTAACGTTTAGGAATTTGGGGCCAAAAAACAAGCATTTTTCTAGTTTCCAGACAATAACTTGTGTTCAAGTGTATGGATCTCTCTGAAATTGTACTGCAAGGTACCATACCACAAAGGGAAGGCTGGGATTGATTTTGGGGGTAATTGCCTCAAAATTTTAGGAATTGGGGGCAAAAAAAGGGGCAAAAAACAAGCATTTTTCTAGTTTCATGACTATAACTTGTGTGTAAGTGTATGGATCTTTCTGAAATTGTACTACAAGGTTCCATATCACAAATGGAAAGCTGGAATTGAGTTTGGGGGTAATTGCTCTAAACGTTTAGGAATTTGGGGCCAAAAAGGGGCCTAAAAACAAGCATTTTTCTAGTTTCCAGACAATAACTTGTGTTCAAGTGTATGGATCTCTCTGAAATTGTACTGCAAGGTACCATACCACAAAGGGAAGGCTGGGATTGAGTTTGGGGGTGATGAATCATAAGGGGGTTCAAAAAATTTGGGGAAGGGATTTTTTTTTCTTGAAAACATTTCCATTTTAAATTGGGTTATTTCTGATTTATATATAAAAGCAAATAATAATGATATGGTTTGAATAGGTAAATTAAAAATTTTTTAAGTTCTTAGACCACATTCATTCTGTGTCAGAAACCTATGCTGTGTGTAATATTTAATCACAATCCAAATTCAGTGCTGTATCAAGCTTGAATGTTGTGTCCATACTTCCCCCAACTGTTCAGGGTTCGACCTCTGAGGTCGTATCAAGCTGCGCCCAGCGGAGTATTTTATTGTCCATATTTCAACAATCACAATAATGAATGCATGCACCAATTTCTCAATATACAGTATATACATTTTGTAATTGTCAATAAAATTGCTATATGTCGGTGAAACAGCACCCCAACAACAGAACGATTTAGAGATCTACATATGGATCTAGAAAAGTAAAAAACCCTCTTAAATTACCATTACTGTGAATGGATCTAGAAAAGTAAAAAACTCTCTTAGATTACCATAACTGTGAATGGATCTAGAAAAGTAAAAAACCCTCTTAAATTACCATTTCTGTGAATGGATCTAGAAAAGTAAAAAACCCTCTTAAATTACCATTACTGTGAATGGATCTAGAAAAGTAAAAACCCTCTAAAATTACCATTACTGTGAATGGATCTAGAAAAGTAAAAAACCCTCTTAAATTACCATAACTGTGAATGGATCTAGAAAAGTAAAAAACCATCTTAAATAACCATTACTGCGAATGGATCTAGAAAAGTAAAAAACCCTCTTAAATTACCATAACTGTGAATGGATCTAGAAAAGTAAAAAACCATCTTAAATTACTCTAACTGTGAATGGATCTAGAAAAGTAAAAAAAACCTCTTAAATTACCATTACTGTGAATGGATCTAGAAAAGTAAAAACCCCTCTTAAATTACCATAACTGTGAATGGATCTAGAAAAGTAAAAAACCCTCTTAAATTACCATTACTGTGAATAGATCTAGAAATGTAAAAAAACCCTCTTAAATTACCATTATTGTGAATGGATCTAGAAAAGTAAAAAACCCTCTTAAATTACCATTACTGTGAATGGATCTAGAAAAGTAAAAAACCCTCTTAAATTACCATTATTGTGAATGGATCTAGAAAAGTAAAAACCCTCTAAAATTACCATTACTGTGAATAAATCTAGAAAAGTAAAAAAAAACCTCTTAAATTACCATTACTGTGAATGGATCTAGAAAAGTAAAAAACCCTCTTAAATTACCATTACTGTGAATGGATCTAGAAAAGTAAAAAAACCCTCTTAAATTACCATTACTGTGAATGGATCTAGAAAAGATCATTATATTGTGTTTTTCTTTTTAGCGAGCTGTTACGATGATACCTGCCCATGATAATCCTTTAGCTGCAATAGCATTCAATGCACAAGGCAACAGAGTGGCAACAGCCTCAGAAAAGGTATAGATGTGTTATATATAGAAATTTCATCAATCTTTTAAGTTTTCTAAGAAGTAACTTAGTTAAAAGCACAAGGAGATATATAGATTACAACACTGCAACAAGTGTGTTACGATATTTCTCCACTCGAGACAGTTAAATTTTAATATTTAAAGCGCTGGAAATTAAGAAAAAACAAAGAAAATTGACGTCATAATTAAATTTTGACCAATCATTTGCCAAGAACAGATATTTCACTAGTGAGGAGAAATATTTTTCTCGCAACCATCACGAAATGTGAAAATAGCACAAAAATTAGAGAATATCAGTTTTAATGGTAATTTAGATCATTACAACCTTGAATATTTGAACGTAAAAAATGTTTTATCTTGATAAGAATAGAAGAACTTTTTATACCCAGCTTATTATAATGGGATGGGGAATTATATTTTTCTTGTGCATATGCCCCATAGTCAATTCATCTGTCCCATATCAGGTTAAAGATTTTGATTACAGAAGTTTACTATGAAGGTGTAGTCATATCAACATTGCTGGATAGTTGTTTCATTGGAAATCATACCTCATCTCCTTATTTTTATATTGAAACTTGGTACACACTATGATGTGAACTTTTAAAAATATATGTCAAATTAGGGTTTCACTTAGATTTTGCAGTTAACTGAACATAGAAATGTGATATGGACACATATTCTTGTCGTGGTACTGTTTATCCAGTCATATTCAGTTATTTTGCTTACAGTCAATCACGATCAGCTGGAAGTAAACATTAAATAGAATTGGAACGGATTATGTATATGTTTATTTTTTGTTTGCAAACATTTCATGCATTATTAGTTTTAAAACTTTATATTTTAGGGAACAGTAATAAGAGTGTTTTCAGTTCCTGATGGACAAAAGCTTTTTGAATTCAGACGAGGAGTTAAAAGGTAGAAATTTTGAAAATATCAAATATTTTACTGTAAATTCAGAAATTATTGCAATTTTTGAAGAATGGTTATAAATGCGAGATTAGTTATTGCGAATTCAGGAAAATTTGCATACAGATATATGCATCAGATATCAGAATGCAAGTTCTTATTATTGAGATACTCACCCAGGCACATTATTTGCAATAATAAAAACCTTGCATTAAGTTCTGAATTTACAGTATTTGGTATTTTCAGCAATATTCATTCCATACATAGTTTTCCTCTTGTTTTTATACCCCCGCCGAAGCGGAGGGGGCATTAAGTTTTACCCTTGTTCTTACTTACGTATGTCAGTCCGTATGTCCCAAAGTTGGTTTCCATTCTCTAACTTTAGTTTGCCTCAACCAAAAGTTATGAAACTTATACACAATACTTATTACCACAAAATTCAGATCAAGTACAAATTTGGGTAGAGTCACTTTTACCGTTCTTCAGTTATGTCCCTTTATAACTTTATATGATATGCAAGCAGTGGCATCCCCATTTATTTTTATTATAATTTATTCATTAAATTTTAATACAAGAAAAATGTATTTTCATGAATACTAGATTTCTTGGTTTTCATAAATTCTGCATACAGATCTGTAGGAAATTCGTGTTTTGGTTACTATTTAAATTCATGGTGCAACTATTCCCACAAAATTAAAGAAAATTAGGACACATGGAATTATAATGATTCTACTGTAGTTCATTAGAAACAGAAAAGTAATATAGGATTGAATGATTGAAAGATAGATGTTTAATATCCAGAGGAAAATATTACCTACATATTTTAAAGCAATGGCAATTTTTTGTGGAATCAATACTCATGTACCTGTTTCAACTCTCAAATAATTGAAATATTCATTTAATATCCGTAATATTAGCTTAAAGTGTAGAGTTTCCCTTTTATTGTGTAAATAGTTTTAAGATTTTAATAAATCAATTTGATACATTCACAATCAAAGTTAAGGACCTGGAACCATCACTCATTGTACAAAGTTTAACAAAGTCAGAGTCTAACAAAGTTTCTAATGGTCAGTTTTAACAAGGGCTCATCACAGGGAGAGTGTTTTATAATGAGACTCATCACAGGGTGAATGTATTATAATGAGACTCATCACAGGGTGAGTGTATTATAGTGAGGCTCATCACAGGGAGAGTTTATTCTGTTCTTATTTGGAAAGACAAAATGGTCTACTACATCAGATTAGAGTCTATAAAATAGTTTTAGTTTAATGAATCCAGCTAATAAAAAAATTCTAATCTGAAGAAACAGATGTCGCAAGTTCAAGTCAAGGGATGTAATACAGCAACATTCCCTGGCAATTTGGGAAGACATTAACTTACCAGTACCTGGACATATTATTTTGACTGAGAGTCAATTAATCTTTGGTCACAGATGTTGTTTTTTATGACTTTTTTTAGACCTTACAGAATATCAAATTCTTAATGAACCATTAACTTGATAAAGGTGAGTAATTCAAAGAGAACAAAGTTCATCTCTTTAAGACTTTGCCGTCCGGTTTTTATACACATCATTTATATCCAGTCATCCATTATTGTAGTTTTATTTAGAATATAAAGAGATGTTGGGTAAGGCCTGTTCTGTAGACACACATTGGACCCAGGGACTGCACTTTAAAATATTGCCTATGTGAAGGCTTTATTGTATGATGAAATTGTAAGAGAAATTTTAAGATTTGCCTCTATAGGTGGTTATCCAACTTTCGAATTGCCTCCCATGGGTACCATATAAAAATAAGGAGATGAGGTATGATTGCCAATGCAATGAGACAAGTATCAAACCAAAGTTCAAATAAAGTGGATGTAAGCAATTATAGGCAATCATACAGCCTTCAACAATGAGAAAAACCCATATGTCTATACCCATATTTTAAGCTCTGAATTGACATAAGAATAGACAAGTTGTTAATATATTTAGCAGAGACTTCCAGCAATCTACTAGGAGAGTACTTGATTGTATACACTACAAAAGATTTGAGAACAAAAGTATTAATATTTCCAGTTTTTTGTAAATCTTGTCAAGATCTGAGTCAGAGACGATAGGAAATCATAATTAAAGTGACTTAGATTTCTAGTCTCTGATGAGGCTTGTCTAGATCTGAGTCAGAGAGAATAGGAAATCATAATCAAAGTGACTTAGATTTCTAGTCTTGCTTTCTTTATGATGTTTGATTCTTTTCTAGCCAACCTAATATTAAAATAAATTAAAAAACATTGAAAACTCTCAGGAAAAGAGGCTCTTACAAGATCAAGATCATACAAAACAATTATATCCCATGCCGCAGTGACAAAATAATGGTGAGTTCATGTACTAGTTACAAGATCATACAAAACAATTATATCCCATGCCGCGGCGACAAGATAATGGTGAGTTCCAGTACTAGTTACAAGATCATACAAAACAATTATATACCATGCCGCGGAGACAAGATAATGGTGAGTTCATGTACTAGTTACAAGATCATACAAAACAATTATATCCAATGCCGAGGCGACAAGATAATGGTGAGTTCATGTACTAGTTACAAGATCATACAAAACAATTTATCCCATGCCGCGGCAACAAGATAATGGTGAGTTCATGTACTACTTACAAGATCATACAAAACAATTATATCCCATGCCGCGGTGACAAGATAATGGTGAGTTAATGTACTAGCTGGTAAGAAATGCCTGCTGAGTATACTTTCATTGTATTGACTGTTTGTAAAACCTTATTTCACTTGCCCCTGTCATTTTATTGTTCAATTTTTCAGATGTGCAACCATTTATTCCTTAGCGTTTAGTGTGGATTCTATGTTCTTGGCAGCTTCCAGTAGTACAGAGACGGTCCATGTTTTCAAATTAGAAACACCTAAAGACAAGTAAGACAGGACATAATAAATATTCTTAATTTTACTTCCATAACTTTTTTTCATCATCAACAGGTGCAAACAATGTTTCAACTGTTTTGCAGTGTTATAAAAGATAATGGTATAGATATGCATGAAAACGCTTAAATCCGCAAGATGTACCAGTAATCAGATAAACCATTTATCTAGAAATTATTTTTATGCCCCCCTGACGTAGCAGAGGGGGCATTAATGTTTACCGTTGTCCCTCTGTCCTTATGTCCTGTAATTGGTTTCCATTCTTTCACTTAAGTTTCCATTGACCAAATGTCATGAAACTTATACACAAAGCTTATTACCACTAAACACAGATCAAGTTCGAATTTGTGTGGCGTCACCTTTACTGTTCTTGAGCTATCTTTTCCATTCTCTGAATTTAGTTTGCCTCAACCAAATGTTATGAAACTTAAACACAATGCTTATTACCATAAAACATAGTTCAAGTTAGAATTAGGTGGCGTCACTTTTACCATTTTTGAGTTATGCCCCTTTATAAATGGAAAAATTGCTGAATTTGTTGACTGTTCCTTAACTTTAGTTTGCCTCAACCAAATGTTATGAACACAATGCTTATTACCATAACACAGATCAAGTTCTAATTTGGGTGGCGTCACTTTTACAGTTCTCTAGTTATGTCCTTTTATAACATTATATGCAAGCGGGAGCATCATCTGTGTCCCATGGACATATTCTTCATTTATTTTAGTAAGTCTTCATTGTGACCTAAAAAAATCTTTACTTTATCAATATCATGATGGTCCATAACATACAAATGTAGTACTCATCACCTAAAGGTAATTATTACAGACTGCTTTGGTAGTGTATCTAGTTCAGATCTAAGGCAATGAGTTATCATGCTTTTTTGTAACATTCCCAAAAAGATATTTTCTTGAAAATTAAAGAAAAAGTTTGCAAATGATTGTGTCCAAATTCCTTAAGTATAATGACATGACAGAATACTATGATTTTTTTTATTCTGTTAGTTGATTAAGTTTGTATGTACAAAAAATGGATCAGTATTTTATAAATTAGAAAAAAATTTCTTGAGGGATTTTATCATTTTTTAACATATTTTATCTGAATGGGGGAGGAGGTATTTATAATTTTGAAATTGTAGTAAGCCTCACCCAAGTAGGAATGTCTGCATTTTAAATAAGAATATGTATTTTACAGTGTTTAATATCTGATTATTGTACTATTCAATAATTTATGTATATCTTATACAGTAAGACAGAAGAACCACAAGGTTGGATGGGATACTTTGGTCAAGCTCTGAAGACTTCAGCGAATTATTTACCAACACAGGTTACAGAATTGTTTCATCAAGGGAGAGCTTTTGCTACAGCTAGACTGCCTTCATCTGGGTTAATTAATGTTTGTGCATTATCTGTGTAAGCTTAGAAGAGGTTCAGACAATTGTTAGAGATTTTTTAACCTGTAACTAGTAAAACTAAATTAAGTTTTCATTTGAGATGTTTGAAATTTACTTGGATCTAGTTCACACTGTGTGTCAATACTTTAAAAGTTTTGAGATTAAATATAAGTTTTTTGAATGAAATAAAATTGAGAATAGAAATGGGGAATGTGTCAAAGTGACAATAACCTGACCAAAGAGCAGAAAACAGCCGAAGGCCACCAATGGGTCTTCAACACAGCGAGAAAATCTTGCCAGGCTTTAGCTAGCCCCTAAACAATAATATATACAAGTTCAGAGAAAATGGACGTCACACTAAACTCTGAAACATATAAATGAACCAAAATTTAAAAAAGATACAATACGAACAAAGGCCAGAGGTTCCTGACTTGGGACAGAAGCATAAATGCGGCGGGGTTAAACATGTTTTGTGAGATCTCAACCCTCCCCCTAAACCTCTAGCCAATGTGGAATAAACAAACACACACCAATATGCACAGTAAACTCAGTTTAAAAGAAGTCGGAGTCCGATGTTAGAATAGGTAACAGAAGAAACTAAGCAAAATGACAATGATCAACATTAATTAACAAAGGACCACTAGCAGTCACTGATATGCCAGCTCCAGACCTCAATTAAACTGATCGAAAGATTATGTCATCATCATACGAAAATCAAGCACGATCTTTCCCACTAGGGGCTTAGTATCATACCATCATAAAATATACTAGAAGAACATTACCCGTATCATGGAAACAACTGGTTTTAGAATAAATATTTTTATTTCTGATCAATGTATTTACCAAAACATTTACTGCAATAGCATACAACATACAAATCAACACCGTATTACCTTAATAATTAGTTATCAAAGTATTTCAAAAAACAAATCACTTTGCATTTGAATTATCTTGCTTTGTGAAACACATTCAAAACTTTTTTTTTGCATTATTTGTTTGTAGTGTTGCCTAAAATTATAATAATTCAACACATATTCTCATCTGTTGTTCAATAATCACAATAATCATAATAATCACAATAATCACAATAATCACAATAATCAATGCCTACACAAATTTCAGAATTTATAAAAACCATAACCTTACACATACATATTTTTGGAAGATATTTGAGGTCCCTTGATCAAATTCTTTTTATATTTCAGGATACAGAAGATACCTAGATTATTAGTTGCATCTCAAGATGGATATTTATATATATTTAACCTTGACCCTACAGATAGCAATGAGTGTGTTCTAGTCAGACAGCACAGGTTAGTATTGGGAGCACTGTAGACTGTTCAAGTGTTAAACGTATTTCTTTAAATTTTAAGCAACTTTGTTATCTGCAATAGACGATTGCAAAGTTTAAACTGTGCTGTGTGGCTTTCTTAAAAAGTGGCTTTAAGCTCACTTGACCTCAAGGGTCATTCAAGTTTTTCTCATTACGTAGGGTTGTCTTGGTCATAAAGTAGTCTTCCAATTTTCATTTTACATTTGAAAAGGTCTTCTCCATTTAAATCACTTGACCTATTGTGTTCAACTTGGTCCGAATCATTGTTACTGTTTGTTCGAAATATTTGACAGACTGTGGATTTATTATTATATGTGGATTACCCATTTTGTCTCTCTCCTGCAATGAAAGTCACAGAAAGCAAGACATTGGGATTGCTTTTTCCGGTAACTTCGACGATGATGACGGCATCAACAATTGTTAAGTTTTCTGCTTAAGTTAGTTTGATGGGAACTACTCATGATAGATCAATGAAATTTTGTATGAAGTTGCATTACTATCAGCACATATCAGTTTGATCATTATTTTGAGGCCCTGCCCCCAAGGTCAGGGTCCAGTGACTTTGAATTAATTAGCAATGTTAATGTCCATTTGATTGTCTTTTTCTGAATTTAATGCCGACAAGCGAGACATATCTCTGTGTCAACAGTTTATTGTGATTGAAGGGTTCAGGTGAACCAAGAATTCAAATGTTCAATAATTACAAATTTTGTATGGAAATGTGTGCAAACTTTTGTAAAACTAAGAAATCAAATATCCATGAAAATACATTTTTTCCTTAATCCACAAAAATTGGGACCCACAAAAATAAGTAAATCCTCAGTACTATAGATTTTTACTGTTTATTCTAAATATTTGACATAGTGTGAAATCTTACTGTTGAGTCTTTATATTTGCCATACTTTATCCTAAAATAGTCTGATGCTTAAATTGAGTGCTAGTAACGATAAATTAATGTAAATTTTTTTCAAAATTATGGAAATTTTCTATTTTTTTTTATAGGGTAATTGTAGTTGGAAGAAATAGATTTGACAAATCATGATAAGAAAGTCCATATTTAACCTCACCTCAGCTTAAGTTTCTTTTTCAACTCCTGAGTGATTTAGAACAAACTTTTACAAATTCGAAAGTGTGCCTATACAAATTTTCACACAGTTTTCATAGGAATGAGTTCCCATGCAAAGTTTTTATACATATGGACATAAGGGGAGGGTTACAATTCAAGAATTCCTTAAATTTGCATTGATAAGAGTTGATAAAACTTGGCAGATTTACTTCATACCTTGTCCAAATGTAAACAGATCAAATAACTTTCATAGTTGCTGTCATTTGTAACTATGACTGGAAGAAAAGGGAGAAACAATTTTTGTCTGTTAAAAAATAACTGAAATTAAATGCCTATTTATATATATATATACTTTTATTTAAGGAGTAGATTCCCAGTTTTGAGAATTATATATTTGATGTTTATATTTCAGGTTAGATGGCCTAACTGGGGACAGCCATGTAACTGAAGTTACGCCCTATGATAAACCATTAACTCATCAACAGTCAACCACAAGTTATGCTTCAACGGTGAAGAAACAAGAACCCACAGTAGGTGTTGGATCAAACATGGCTCCTCCAGGTAAGCAGAGAGAGGAGGCACCCTCTGTCAACCTTATAGGCACAAGTTACGCTGAGATGCTCAGGAGGAAAGGTGGGCCACAGGGTGCAATGCTAGATTGTGAACCTAGGGCAACCGTTGAACAAATTGATGAAATTTTATCAGGCCCAGGTAACGTAAGCTTCACCTACAAAATGGAACGTGTTCAACCCATAGGCAGACTTTATGTTTCTAACACGATTTTTATTTGACCTCTTCACGTCTGTTTTTTTCTTACTAACATTCTGAAAAAAGGGATGGCAATGCATGATCTGTTTGGTATTGTGGTTAAAAAATATAGATTCATTGCTTGACATGTTTTTTATTTGCTCTACATTATAGTCTCTGCATTTTTAGACATGGACTTTAGAGATTTTTTTAGATAGAGACTTATAAGCTAGTATTGCTTTCATTGGTTTGCACTTCTGTCAAGCAAGCATGAGTCACATTAAAAATAGATGGGTCATTAGATGGCATTATTCATGATAACCATTTTGTGTGGTCAATCTCATGTTTGTGATGATAGTCTTTTTACTCAAAATGTGCTATTTATTCCATTTCAAGGAGACCTTTTGAAAATTGCACTTAATATTAGTTTCAACTAAGCTGTATAATTCCTTTTTAATTAGGTATTTAAAATATTTCAATCCACATGTTTTAATGTAAAACTATGTTCTAAAGAGGCTGGTGACTGATATCTTAAATTTTGAAGATATTTGTAGTAGTACTGATTCAAGCTGTCAGTTTTTGTCAAGTAGCTTTCTACGTGTATATGTTTACGAGTGTTTTGTAAAACGTATTTGTTCCAATATGACAGTTGTCTTGTATTTTTGACCCCTTCTTAAGTGAGAGGTATTTAATGATCAATCTGTCTGTCTGTCATCTGTACATTCATTTGTTCAATTGTCCTTATCCACAACTGCTCCTGAACCATCTGACAGAATTTTGTGAAACTTTCTCAAAATCTTAAAAATCTTACTCACTTGATATTATTTTTTTACGCCTTCATTTTTTCACCTGAATTATTTTGGAGATTTGCTTTTTGATGACATGGCCATGGACTTTGTCATATCTGCACACTATAGTACACATTTGTATCTGCTTCCCCACCTAAACCCCTGATCACAATTAAATGAAACCTTCTCAGAACCTTTACATATAATGATATCATGCACTACCTAACTTGTTATACCCAAATTATTTTATGGGTTTCCCTTAGCAAATCAGGGGGTGGAGGTATCAGTGTATGAGCTTTGCCCAATGTTCCTCTTGTTTTTTAAGGTAAGTATACATATCAGTTAAGTAATATGTGATTTCCAAGTTTCTGACTTTATGGGTCTCCGGTATGGAATCAGAACATACAAGGTAGCATAAAAAGACATAAATCTGAAAAAATTCAGATAAGAGAAAAGAACCAAAAAGCTTCAGATATGTTTTGCCTTAAAATGATTTAAACTTATTGATTGATTGATTGATTGATGGTTTAACATGCCTTGAGGAATATTTCATAAATGTTCAAGACTAGAACCAAATAATTATAGTTTTATCTGATTGAGTTTTTTATTCCATGAGTAAATATAGCACATTTAACCAGTTAGGTTTTTAGGGTGAATAGAAGGAAACAACTGTCAATCATTTTCTTAGTTACTTCTTTCAATAATCTTAAAAATGTTGTTATTATGAGATCAACCAGGTGTAGTTTTGATAAATCGTGGATTCATTTATTATTGTGCGTACCAATTTTCGTTGATTGAGGGAAAATTGTTTCGTGGTTATTTGATTTTGTGGTTTTGTAGTTGGTTGAACATTTAGATCTGTTGTTCATCTTTACCCACAAAATCCACGAAAAATTGGTTCCCGACAATTGATAATGAATTTCTACATCTGCTTTCAGTGACTTTAGCATATTTAGTGCTATCATATTCATTTGTTTTACTATCTGCTTATTCATCATTTTCATTTATTTTAATCAACAAAAATTTAACTTGAAAAATTTGGATATTTGATCTTTTAAAATATTTCCCTTTTGTTGCATTATGGAAGAAGTATTTTAAGACAAATGAATTAAGATTTAGGTTTATTTAGAAAAAAATGCATTGTATATATACTATGTATACATGAAAGTTGGATATTCTGTCATGAAACTTTTGCTTGATAGGACAAATTATGACAACAAAAATCTGAAAATAAGTTACAGTATTTTCAACATTATCATTTATGCAGATAAATATATATTTGATTAATTTATATTTTATCAGACTCAATTGCAAAGATACTAGGTAAATTCTAAAAGTTATAGTGCATGCAGAGGATTAACAGAAAAGAAAATGTGCTATAAATAGATTAACAAATTTTGTAGTATATTGCCCATTCACCACAATTGTCATTTTACACATTTCAGCATGTGTTTTTTGGTTCAGCTTTAAATAATAGTACAGAATATTTGTAAGAAGAATCATAAAATCAATGCTAGTTTTTATGTTAATGTCATGTTTAGTTTAAATCAGGCATGTTAATTTACTGTTTTGTACAAACAACATGCATCATTATATGTATTTAATTTAATTTGCTTGAATCTAAATTTTCTGATTGGTTTTTACTGGGGAGAAAATATATTAGTAACAGTTTATGTTTTTGATGGAAACTTCATCGAAATATACATCAGATTTCAACAATATATAAAACTGGAGAATATAATTTAAAAAATCAATCACTACAATGCAACTTATGCCATTAAAGGGAAGTAACCCCTATTACAATCATATAGAATGAGGGAAATACAGAATCCAACAGATTCCCTTTATAATTTTCATCAATATTTATGGGGAAAGTTTATAAAAGATCCATCACACAATCGTTGTGATGCATTTTTATTGAAAAGATGTTCAATAGAAATTAATCAACTTTTAGCAGAATCTTTAAAAATACTTTTCAGAGTTTCTGATGATAATTCATGTTCAAATTAATAGATAAAAACTTAAACACCTCAAGATTTCAAAGTAGAAAGTTTCAATGGAGTCTTATTATTTAATGTATAAAACCTTACGTAAAAGTACAAACTTTATAAATGGTAGAATAATTATTTTAACCATATCAGTATTTTTTACATGATATAATTAATGTATGTATCATCACAAAAGATAAGAAGGGTTTATGTAAAATTAATAAAATCTATCTTTCTTAAAATTATTTCAGTCTTTAACCAAATGTAAATATATATGCAAATGTGTATATTTAGTTTATTCACTATTCTAAAACCATAAATATTTGCTGTATAAAATCTAATTAAAATATATATACAGTAACTTGTTATGTAATAGTATAGTCAGTTAATACATGCATCTTGAATATCTTATATAAATACTTATACTATAGCTAATGTCCATTTGGTCATTTCCACCCGTCCACAGTTTGAGTGGACACAGTGTGGGTAAAACTTCTAGAAAGTTACCTCTGCCTATTCTATAGATTGGATGTGACAATTCCTTTTCTTTCATCATAAGAATTACATTACTTTTTATTTGGAAAATTACTTAAGCTTTTAAAATTGATATTTTTAAACAAATCTATGATGAGTTTTGAGTTTGCCTAATTGAACTGATCATAATAGGCATTGCTGCAGGTAAAAAAAGCAAAATCTATGTGAACTGTAGTATACATAATCAACAAATAATTTTTGTTTCCAAAGCCTGTCATGGTAGACTATTCTTCTCTGAAATGTGGTATCTTAGTTATTACTTTATTTGTAATTGTATCTGTTAACATCAGATAGTTTCATAATTTATAAAAATCACCAAGTTGAAGTATACATGTAATACAGTAATGACCATGTTAGAAGTAAAGTTTCTTTATACTGGAATTGGCATTGCATTCACTATATCATAACAACCTTGTATGTTGTACATTCGTTTGTCCTTCAGTATTTTTGTCAAGACTTTATTCAGGTTCTCTAGAACTTTATTCAGGATCTCTAGAACAGAATTACTTCTTAGTTGGTCAGTAGCTTGACAATGATGAGTTGTAATATTTAAGTGCTTTTTTGGGGTCTGTCTGACACATACTTTCTGTTTTCTGATGCTGTGAATTATATGTGGAAGTGTGCTTCATTTTTTGTTACTTCTAAATATTTACTTGAGGATTTATCATTGATCTCTTTGGAGGCTTTGATGAGGATAAATTGATCTCCTTGATGCTTTAAAGAGGATGAATTTATCTCCCTGGAGACTTTAATGAGAATAAAATAAAAGAGTTGTCTGATCAAAAGAAAAACCTGTGAAGTATTAAATTACAGAATAAGGCACAGTTTATACAAATGTATATAACTATGTTGACCCATACAGTGCACCTACTGACTACTCCTGATTTTGACAATTAGTTTATGTGGCTTAAATAATGTGTGTGTTTATTGTTCATTTTCATCTGTTTTTATTGAAACAATGTATCTTACACCTGTCCAGTTCCTTTTGATTTGACTTGTAAGTGTATGAGGGTCTGGATGGTGTTCATAGGATAGAGACAAGGAATTATTTGAAACTGGAAAATTGGTAAGAAATGTAAGATGAAAACTAACTGAATTTTGGAGGGTTAGCCATGCATGGCTTAAGGGGGTTAGTTAGTTCATACTGAAATATCAATGCAAGTAAAATTAACCTTAGCTATTTAGTTGGGTTAGTTTTCATCATACATTTCTTATCAATTTTCCAGAATTCAAAATTATTCCAGATTCAAATAATTTGTTGTTTAGAGAATAATGGGCAACTAAAATACAGAATACAGAAAAAAGGGGAAATAATATGGAAAAGGAAAAATTGGGTTCTTGAATATGAAGAAAAGAGAATAATTTAACCCTAAAAATAAAAAAGAGAAAATTGACCTTAAAAATTAAAGAATACAGAAATGAAGACCTCCCTCCTTTTTCTCACCCAGACCCAAGTCTATTGTCTACTGTCTGGATTTTATGATTTCCCTTTTAACATGATTGTTTATGTATGGTCTTCTCAGCATTTAACATTAATTTCCGTCTTCATGTTATACTTGTCACTTTTCAAGGGATAATTGAAAGAAATTCCCTCTGCAGTATCCGTGAAAGTGTGTTTAAAAATGATTAGAGGCTGGCTAGGAATGACCAAAAAGATTGACCACACTAACCACCAACACCTTAAAAGAATTGATGTAATATCAAAGAGAAACATCAAAGAAAAACACATCGTCTAGATAACCTGACTTAGTAGAGGCATTTGGTTAAACCATCTGACAATGAAATTAAAACAATTTTCTAATATAGTAGCAACATTTCTATGATATTGCTAATTGTGGTTATTTTAATTTTTAGATTCAGAACCATACCAGGAAATGGATCAGGGTGCAACAGGAGGAGAGGATTTAAAAGGACTTGGACAATTACGATTGGACGATGATAATGAATTTCCACCAATGACCCATAAGAATGATTGAATATTTTAAATGATTTTTGTATTGCCTATATTATTAATGTTTCTACCAAAAGTGATAGCTTTGTATAGAACTTAAACAAGCTTAATAAGTTCTTATTTTCACAATGTGGAGCATTTTATTTATCTCATTAATTATGACCAATGAAAATTTATGTACTATTTTGTTTTAACCAATGAGATTTGCTGACCTTACTGCAAAATGGAACCAGTATGATGCAAAGATTGCTTTTATGAATGAACTGTCTAATAAATTATAATATATATAAAGGAAAACTTGTATATTATTTTGATGATTAACAATGAAAGTGGATATGGGGTATACATCAGTGAGGCAGCACCTAAAAACAGGGCAAATAAAAAGCCTCTAAAAAGGACATTAATTATTGGTTACCTTAGAAGCAGTATATTTTTTGTGTTTTCTTTGTAGATTCAGAAGCTTTCAATGTTCTTTAGAAACTACAGTATTATAAAAAATCAATGTCACTGGTGGGTCATTGAATTTGTTAAAATTATTGTCATTTTTTCATTCAAAAGGACATGGTACATATTGTAGGTAGCTGTTTCTTTTATCTGTCACGGTATACACTTTAAACTTGTTTTGATTAAGCAAATGTTTTTTGTTGTCTCTTGATTATTTACTTTTACTGTTTAGTCTATTTTTGGTGATATCCATTTGATGTGGCTCGGTACTTATACATCCTGTCGTGTTATTGTGCTATGGTAAATTTTTGTATTCTTGTCTTTCATTTTTGCTTATGTGCTTTGTCTATATGCCTTTTTGTGTTTCTTTGTTACATATTTGTTTGTTTTTATAGTAATTAAGATTATAACACAGTGTTGACTGATGTACCCCTATTTTGACAATTTTTCTGAATATGTCTGTTTGTTTTGTTCACACATCATTGTCAATATAATGGAATTTTATGCAACTGTCATACAAGTGAGAGGTTTAGCTAGCTATAAAACCAGGTTTAATCCACCATTTTCTACATTAGAAAATGCTTGTACCAAGTAAGGAATGTGACAGTTGTTATGATTCGTTTGATGTGTTTGAGCTTTGGATTTTGCCATTTGATTAGGGACTTTCCATTTTGAATTTTCCTCAGAGTTTTATATTTTTGTGATTTTACTTTTTGCTGCAACACAGTGCGTGGACATGGAAATATCTGGGGTGTGTTTGTCCATCAGACTGATCTGGTAAGCACACTCACACATACAATTCTTGCCAGATTTTTTGAAAATTTACATCAAAGGTTTAAATCAGATATGTCCTTGACATGTTGGAAAATCAGTACTGATTAATTATTTTTATAGAAGTTATGCCCTTGGAATGTCTATGCGTCTGTCTTTCTGACAATATCAGCCTTATAAGGTGTAAAATTTTTGCTAGATTCTTATGAAATTTATATTGAATGTTAACATCACTAATGCTCAGAGTTTGAAAATCAATTAATCAGTAGTGATAGGATATTTATGGGGTTAATGTCACTAATGTCTTGAACAAGTTCGAAATGCATTGCTAATTATGGGAGTATAAACGAAAAATGATAAAATTGATAATACTTTGCCAAAATATAGTATATACACTGATATGTTGAAAAATATAAAAATAATAGGTCACTCTGCTTTTTTCAACCTACAGGTTGTAAAAAAATGACACATTTTGTATGGGTTATACAGAGAAAAAGCATTATTGTGTCAATGGAAGGTAAACTAAATTTTAGAATTTGAAATAGAATATGAGAAGATAGCTCTTATAAAATGCTTGCAGAATATCAAATGAAAAAATGGGGTCACTGTGCGTTTTTTTCCCTGTTATAACATGAAATAGAAAAAATTTCAGTAGTTTCCTTTATAAATTATACTAAAATTGAGTTATCTCCCCCTAATAATCTTATTTAAAAAAAGAAATGAAAATCAAGCAAAAATATTAGTAATTATAGGATAAAATCACATGTTCATTTAAATGACAATCCTCTTTAGTCACTTTCATTCCTTAATCAAATTTTGCTGACTTGATTGAATATCTAGACCTAATGTGTTTGGCTATTTTACAATCCAAGATATCGAAAGACTCTCTTACTACCTTAACTATTTTTTTGTAGCCATTATTCTGATATTACACAGATTTTAAGATAACATAAACCAGGAGAGAATAGCCTATTTTCCATTTACTGATTTCATTATTTAATAATCCACTTTTAGGACAAGTTGTTTCCCTACGCCAATTGTGTTCTATACAGGATAAAATGGGCTCCTCCCTATGTGATGCATGTTTAGTTGAAAGTTATATATTCAGTGTAGATGTTTTAACCGATTTTTGATGAAAAAATAACTTGAAATCAAAAGTTTTTAGTTTTACAAAAAGATCAAATGTAATTAAAGGATTTCTAAAGATTACACAATGATGATTATGCGTTTTCTGCTAGATCGTCATTGTAAAAAAAATTATGTCAACTCTAAGGAAAACCACACAAAATAGATCCATAATTACAGGATCAATTATGGAATTGACAGTGGCGTAGCTTACATTGTAGCAGCAGAGGTAGCTGCCTCGGTAAAAAATGATTTAAAAAAGGAAACAATTTTTAACACACTAATAAATTTTAAGCAGCTTCCAAGTAATGCAGCTAAATCTTGGTAGTCGTTTACTTCATGTTCATTGTAGAGAGCTACAATGTACAGGAATATTGTTCTTCCAAGATGTGTTTTTCCACAACCATTGCATGGTTTGAAATCACGTTTTATAAGGTGATATTTTAAATTCACCAAGGTCAACAAATTAAAACTGACGTTTAATCCATTGCCCTACAAAGTCAGCAATAATGTTAAATGTTGAATAACCAGCCCATGGGCCTTTCCTGTTATACTTAGAGAAGATCATCCTGAAGTGTTGATTTAATGCTAATTGCCATCTTTAACACATTTAAGCATATATATTTAATTTCTAGATCGTAAAAAAACCTTTCTGTCCGTTATATATATATTATAAACATCTTTCTGACTAATATATCTATTATAAACAACCATTGGAATGAGAAACCATTATTATTATGTGTTCAAATCAGATAACATATCTATTAACAAAAGTATGACTGAAACCCCCTTTGACCAGTTTGGTCACATGTTTGCAATATCTTATAAAGAATGCATGGTAAACCTGACGAACAATCAGACTTCGCCTTTGTAATCATTAAGTACACTATCAAGTAATTGAACTTAAAATTCAAATGAAGTAGGTTGATAATTTTTCATTGACCATGCACACTAGCCACCAAATGCTTAGTGTGTTTTGTTCTCCTGAATTAAAATAATAGTATGTAAGTTTGAAAATATACTTTGTGGCCAGTACTTTCATGAAATGATGATATCTAAATATCATTACAATTTTTATCTCACAACATACCTAGATAGTGCATGAACAAATATATCCTACACATCAATACTGAAATTATCTTTCCTATCAATTTAACATGATATTAACAAGGGAGGAAATATACAAAATGGCGTTATCAAACTCTGTCATTACAGCTCAGGATATTGTTACCTGTGATATTTGCGAATCAGAAACAAAACTGACATGGAAGTGTTTGAACTGCGATCTCTTGATGTGTAACAAGTGCAATGATAAAATTCACCTTAAGATTAAAAACGCTAAAGACCACACAATAGTTGATATAAAACAGGTTGGAATGAGTGGTGGTAAAGGAAACCTAGACTTTTCAAATATAAAGTGTAAATTGCACACATTACAATTGTGCTGTATTTTTTGTAGCAATTGTGATGAGCTTGCCTGTCCGAGCTGCATTACAAAAGGTCATGCAGGACATACGTTCATCGAAATTAAGGAAGCATATAACATGAAAGTAGAATGGCTGAAAAATAGAAAAGGAAAATTAGAAATGAATAGGAAAAATCTAGATGCTGGACAAAGAAAACTTAATCAAATTACAGAGAAGGAGAATTCCAATTGTCAGAAGACTATTCAAGATATTCAAAATCAAAGGGAAGCATTAAAAAGAGAGGTAGATAAATATGCTCTCAAACATATAGAAGAAGTTAATCTAAATATGACAAGCATCCAAGATTCAATTTCTCAAGAGAAGAAAAAAGTCTTAATAAGCAGACAAAAAGCTGAAAATAATTTAAAGACGGCCGAAGAAATGCTTACTACAAATGACATGTCTTTCTTCTTTCAAAATGCTGACATATTAAAATCATTGGATGATGAAAGAGAAAGAGTCAATGTTATCCATAAAAGTGTGCCAAATTTTAAGCCAGGGAGCATTTTGCAATCAAATGTTGGGACATTGTATGAAGATGTTAGTTCCAGTAATACTGGAATAGATATGAAAGTGAACAACGAGTTTACCACTGGATTAAAACATTGTCAATACATATCTGCTTGTTCTGATGGTTCATTGTGGATAGATGATGGTTTAGCTAAGCTCTTGCACAAAGTAAAGCTAGAGGGAAACATTCTCACAACAGTTTTAACCATAAACACTGAACTACGAGGTATAGCGGTCACACATAATGATCTACTGATTGCAGATACAACATCAAAGCTAAAATTCGTCGATGGAAATACTGGCAAATTAAGTGATTCAGAGTACAAAGTTGAACCATTAGCAATAATATCTGTCCATATAACATGTGATAACAAGGTTATTGTAGGTGCAATGGTTCCTGGTAAAGCATTCCCCGTGACAGGAAGAAGAGTGGTAATTGAAATGGACCAGGAGGGGAATCATCTAACCGTGTATGAACAAGATAAACATAAACACAATATATTTTCATACCCTAGGAGTATAACCAGCACAAGTAACGGTAATATCTTTGTTGGTGATAGGATCTCAAGTGATAAGAGGGGTAGGGTGTTGGTATTGGGTAAGGATGGAGATATTTTAAATTAATACACTGGATGTCATGACATATACCATAAGTATAAATCATTGCGAATTGCCAATATTACAACTACACCATCAGACAACATTGTTGTTTTTGATTTATACCATCACCTCCACATCCTTGACAGTTCTGCTAATCCTAAATACTACTATGATATCAGAGATATAGGAATCAAGTATTCATACTGCCTTGTTTTTACATGTCCGACAACATTCTACCTTGGATGTTCACCACCTACTAGTAGTACAACAAATTCCAAAGTCTATGAGATTCAGTGTTCAGGATTTTAATAACAAATCTAATTCATAATGAAAATTTGCAAATAGCTTTCAACTTTTCAAGTGACAAATCAAAATAGTAAC